CACGGACGCTTGCAAAGCGGCCCGTGGAGTAGGGAAGGTCCGTTTGGTCCAAGAAGCAGTGAACATGTGCAGCAAAACTGTTGATGGCTTGATGTTAGAAGCAACTACATGCAGGTAATACGTAATACGCAAAGGTAGTACGGTTATATAATATATATATATATTAAAATGCATGCATGTTATACGCAAACCTTTGAACAAAAATCATCCTAATGTCCTAATGATTGAAGAATGACTACATCTGGAAGCTAGGCATCTGCAAGACACAAACCATGCATCTGGTCCGCGGTCCGCGCGGCCCTTCGAACATGTCCGCTGGGCTCCCCTGGCGCGCTTCCTTCACTACTGGTGGCGCCTGGTGAAATCGTCATGCGGTGCGGCACCGCCAAAACACACCAAAACACATACACCACAAAATATAAATAGAAACATATAACCAAGCACATCCAATTGGAGTTGAACCGAAAGCAATAGCTACTTGGCTGCTTCTCAAGGCTTGAAGGGTCCGGAGGTCCTTCGTTCTGTGTTGGATCCAGAAACTTGGTACTTGGAGCCCTAGGTAAATGCAAGGCCTACACTGCAGCTGCACAATGCCCGCTAAACAAAAAGAAGAACTTGTTTACACACAATCCCACCACATGCCTGTTCCCACCGCCTCCAAAAACACAACGTGGGGTACTTTCAAAATTGAAAGATGTCATCATCATCGCTTTTCCTTGTACCAGCCATGTGGTCCTCTATCTCCTCGCCTGTGCTACATGGCGAAGGGATGGACCACGCAAAGTCCTCGTCGGACGCAGCGGACGGAGCGGAGCGGGTCACGGATCTGCTGCTCGGACGGACGGAGACGAGGTCTTCCAGAGGTGGTGTCTTCTCCGTGCAACTCATCGATTGAGGAAGGAGCATGTCCAAACATATAGATCACATCATCATTGTGTAATATATTGTGTATACTAGTGTATATATAGTATATGCATATATAATATATATATATATAGAGGATGTAGTTTAATCATTGTCCATTGGGTATACGGTATATCCCATTCCCTGTAACAATGGACTGTTGCAGGCACTTAATTTGACACCCAAATGATCCAAATCCATCACGGAGTTAAATCATTAAAATTGACAACACAACAACCTGGAACATCAACATCTGCAACTCCCAAAGTGTACCGACCATAGACTTCTCCACAAATCAATCAACCCCAACCCAAACGGCACCCACCAGAAAACCGGCCCGTTTTCTCTTCAAACCCTCAGTGCCCGCCACACACCATGCCTTTCAAAGGATCCTGAGTGGGATGCCTCAATACCACACCGTCGCCGCGGCAAACCGCCGGACCCGTGCCGTGCCGTTCGTCAACGGGGCTCCTCGTCGGAATCGGCGCGGCGCCGCGGGGGGGACCTGGGAGAGGAGAGAGGATGGGCCGAAGCGCGCAAAAAAGGTTGGATCCTGCTTTGTCAGAACTGAAGAGGAGAAACAAACATGAAAAAGAACAGATTACCCCTACTCCCCAGGAGAAGGAGGTAGAAATTCAGAAAGAAGAGAAAAAGAAAGAAAATGACCTTGAATGTGAACTACAAGGAAAGAGCAAAATAAGAAAAACAGAAAGAAGGAAAGAAACACATATCCCGGATCCCCATATGCCAGTGACTTTCTGTTTTTCAAGCCGGTGACTGTGTGATAAATACACGGACGGGCCCTGGCACTGGCAAAAAAAAACTCCAAGAACTCAAAAACAAGCAGTTATCAACTCCAATCAACACTGCAATCACTCCAATTAAGGCTCCATGACTCCTGGCACCTTGGCACTGGTGTTTTGTTGGACCCTCTCCCTCCTCTCAGTGCCAGGCTGAGGCGTCCGCTCCTCAGATGTGCGTAAACGGCGTCGCGCTTCGAGCGCTTCGTGGGCGATCAGCATGGGCGAAGAACCTGGAAAGCACCTCTGGGATACTCTTCCCAAACTGGGACACATGTATGCAAGTTCTACAGTGGATAATGTAGACTCTAGGTTCATAGACCACCCCCAGCCCTGAAGAGGTTTTTCAATTCACATGGAGGATTGTTAATCAAGAGTCTACATGGCACTCCTGGAAAGAATCACGGAAGTTGAAGTAAGCCTTGATTCAAAGTGCTCACATCTCACCTAGATCGTTCCTCTCACTGAGAAGTAGAACGTTTCATGTCTTCAAACATTCCTCAAAACGCTATTGAACGGTTTACCAGGTAAGCTAAGCCAATGACGTCCATATCCCCCCTCATGAAGCTGGCACACCCCTCCGAACCCAATACCGCCCCAAGGCGCCATTAGGTCATCGGTTCGCAAAGGCAAGGGCCGGCGGAGCACGTCCAAAATCTGCTCCGGCATGCCTGGGCGTCACGACAAAAGCAAAGACTGGGCATCCATGAAACAGAACGGAAAGCCACCCAGGTGCTTTCTGTATAACATGTCCCTAATCATAAACTATGTCTCAATCCCTATGGATCCACATACCTTCTGAGGTGATTGCAGACTATTTATGCAGGCGCCAGGAGGGTCCAATTACCTTCTGAGAAGGTATGTGGATCGGGAATATGATCTGGTCCTCTGGCTCTTCTTTCTTCACACCTCCAGCAACACCCACAATCATATGTTCGGTTCCCTTCCAAAAAGGACCTTCCCGGCCCATACCTCTCCGCTCTCTCCGCTCGGTGGATCGCTCCAAGGGGCCAATCTGCTCGCTGCCCTGGACGGCGATCCGGCCAATGCTTTCAAAGTCGCACTCCTCCTGCGCTGAGGACGGAGCCATGCGGCGTTTCGTGTGTGTTGCAGCAACGCTGGATCTCGAGATAGCTGCTCAGATAGCTGGATCTCCAGCAATCAGCAACACAGTTCTGAGATCTGGGGGAGAAGCATGGCATTTCAGAGATCGCACCATTCACTCGTCAACTACAAGTCCAGGCCAAACCACATCGCTGGCCACCCTTGCGGGAACATCTGCTTCCACCCAGTCGCTCGCTCACCCGGCAGCTTCCACTGGTCCTGTTCTCTACTCCTCATCGTCTTAAAGAAGCTCACAATCTCTTCGAACCTCAGGAGAAAACGTCGGGCCCGTCCGACCCTGACACTTTTCGCTCATACCCTAGGGGCTCCAGTCATACCGAACCTCAGGTTCGGTACGACTGGACCCTCCCAAGATAAGATTTTATCACAATGCCTCCAATATCCCCTGTACAATTCACTCGACAACCCCGGGGGGGGCATTTTGTATCTACAAATGCCTCATCCCAGGTCGAAACCAACCAATCCATCTATAAAATCAAGCCCCCCAAGATAGAAACCTTAAGTCTATAAGATTGGGTTGGGGGTTGGCCTGAGTGGGCTCACAGAAATGTATCAGAAAAGTGCGCTCTCTATAAAATCAACCCCTCCAAGAAAAATGCTTAAACAACCATCTCTACAAAATGGGTTCTAACCCTTTTCAACACTATGGTGGGTGGGTGCACATGCTCGAGTCAACAGAAAGATATAAAAACAAATGTTGTTTCTATATAACTTATATAATGGACCCTCTCTGTCTTGCAAATCCTGTTTCAGCTAACATGCTCCAAAAATTACCCTGATCACTCTACAAATCAGGAACACCCAGGACAGTGATTCTATAGAACACCAATATTGTCTTTACAAAATGGTCGTTTCCAATACAGGGGTTGACCCAAAATCCAATCACCGTACCTGAAAAGGTACTTAGATCCCAAGGGCCCTAGGGACACAATGGAACTCGAAGATTGGACCTGCGCCCTAAGGGAGAGGTCCCTGTGTTCGTCTCGTGGCGGCGGCTCGCCCGGATTCCTTCTGGCTTTGCCCAAATGCCAACCGACACCAACAATCCAAGGAGGATAGAATTTTGCAGGTGGAGGCCGGGGAAGACAGGTATGGTCGAGTTGGAGCAAGCACCTCTCGGCAGGAATCATCTCTCTTCACCTTCAAGCGGACAAGGAACCCGCCCCCCCAAACCACTGACGACTATAGAGTGATATTTTTCAATTTTTGTCTACGGCGTTTTCACAAACACCACCATAACACCCTCACCCTCATACATGAGGGTCATCACCAACAAAACCCAACAAAACTCACGCATGGAAAGCTTTTGTTCGTCACTCCCGCCGAGCTGCTTCATGGACAGCAAGGTGGACTGAAGCAACTGCAGCACCGACAATGAGATGGGCAAAATCTCCTGCAACTCGCAGCCGGGCAGCCCCCTCAAAGAATTTGGATTCTTTCGATAGAGTGTGCCTTCTTTGGATGCGGGCTGACCCGTGGGGGGGGGGGCAGGACAAGGAGGGTGCACCAACTGTGGAAGGAGTTCATTTATAGCCTAGGGGCAGGGGGTATGACAAGAACGGATGTCGCAACTGGCTGAGGAAGGAGGATATATCGTTGATACAGGGACCCCAAGGGTCCATGTGTGGCCCTCCCCAGTGCCGATCTCAACTCAAAAGGCTAATTAAGGCTTTAAGAGTCATTTTGCTCCACTACAGTCATCTTGTATAGTTAATTGAGTCAGTGATGTTTGAGCACATGTTGAGATGTATACCTCTGACCTTGCAAATACTCTTGCTTCTCTTTCATGTTCTACATACCCGACATACCCCCCACCCTCCGGTACCTATGATCAATGCGGGCTGCCACAGCGGCACGGTCCTGCAAACCACCACAAATGATTGCCTCGGGTGAAGAAAAGGACCAATGACTCCACCCTTTTAATCAGCATTCAAAACCTCCTAATTTAAACTGTTGCATACGTCTTGCTTGGAAGCCAGCCAAGTACAACTTCCTAGGTCTGTCGGGTTCATCCAGAATATACAAAGGCTTGCAAAGGTCCACAATCGTGACATTCCAAGCATACGACAGTGACTCTGTGCTTACTGGTGAATGTGTTCAAGCCGTTTTCCATTGGGTGTCTCACTGGGGTATGATTCTGGCTCCACGGGAAAACGCATCCTGCTTCACTGATCAATTGATCAATTGAATGCTCCCACCACTCTCCACAGCTGTGCTACTCACTTCAAAAACTGGGAGAGAGATGCCCTCTTCCCACCTGTCAAGCTGCTTAGCCGACCCCACTGGCCAAGCGGCATCCCAAAAGACGAGCACCATAGGCAGCGGCAAACTACTGATGAAGAGAGTCAGGAACCACTGATGCCTGCCAAGTGGGTGCAAATCCTTCCAAAAAGGACGTACAAAACACGTTCGAAAGCAGATTCGCAATACCCAACTCCCGGGGATTGTTCGCAAGCAACAAGTGGATGCGTTCCTCTTGAATCCTCTTCTGAAGAGCATCCAAATATTGGTACATATTGGTACAATTTGGTGCAAAGTATGGCATTCTAGACCCTACTCCGACCTGGTTGTCTGCAAACTATGCGGAACACATACATGAAGATATCATGAACCATGGCTTTCGGCTTCAAGTATGGGCACTCCAAAGCATCCAAGCGTTTGTCCAACCATCCAAGAGTTCGATGCTGCGCGGCCGGTTCACAAAGTATCTGGTAACAAAATCCAATAGTTGTTTGCTCTGCTCTTCGGTTCAGGGTAGGCAAACAGCTTGCGTCTTCACACTCTTGTAGTTTGAACGCGAGTGTTCCCGCACAACACGCATGTGTCAAAAGGCTCACCAAGAACAAATACAAATGCGCACCTAAACGATCTTGCCAACCTGCTATCACCAACCTGTGCTGTTCTGCTGAAACCCTGGGAAAGTTCCCCAAGTGCAGTTTGCGCTGCTCATCATTTTTTGGCGACACAACCCATTTTCCAGCCCCATGAACAGTGGTCAGGAGTTGGTTGCAAATGCACAGACAAGCGGCAGGTAAACTGCATGCTGCAGATTCTCTTTCAGGAAGTGCTGCTGCAACTCCTTGTGGGATACATGGTCCAAAGAATAACGTCGATGGAGATTCCAAGTCAATTCTTCCAAGTAAACTAGCAGCTATATATTATATATATACATATTCTCCATAGGAACTAGTTAAGTTCGGAACTAGCAACTGAGGAGCTTTGATGGTGCTGACACCCTTCCACCCTGTTCACCTCCAAATAAGAGTCGCACACAAAGCGTCTGGAACAGTCGACGAAGGAATAACACTGACTTGATAAGGTCCTACTAAGTGCCATAATTCAAAATGTTGCCAAATTCACATCCATCTCCTACGTCTCGCGTTTGGACATTGTCAAGTCCTTCAACACTAATGATAACTGAATAATAGCAAAGGGTGCGTATGCTAATTGCCGGCCTGTATCCTCACCAACCACAATGAACAAAACAAACACTTGTGCAAACAGTTTCGGGCTTAGACGGTTTAGAGTAAACCAGCCACAGGCTACAGGATATTCCTCTGCAATCAGGGTGTTTGAGATTGTGTGGCTGCCACAAATGTAGCCTTTTCTTCTTCTGTCGAATCGAGCCTCTATCCCAACTCACCCTGAGATTGTCAAGTGACAGGCAGGGTGGTGGACAACAGCTCTTCAAAAGCCCAAAGGTACCTGCAATAGAGCTTGATGAGTTGCTTTTCTCAAAAAAGAACCCTGAAATATGGTGCTTTCTGAATCTTTCTGACTGGTGTTTTGGGTACTGCTTGAATGTAGGCAGTGTCATTTCAGTCACTCCCTTGGCAGGCCTTGTGCGTACAAACTTGTCCAGCGGGAGACCAGCAGCACTGCCGACACTTTGCAGGTCAACCGACATAGCCCATCATAACGACTAAGCAGGTTGGATTAAGCTCTCTTTTTGACTTCCAACGCCCTGTGCCAGGATTGTGCACGAAAAAACACCTGCTCCTGCACTCGGATCCCCGTGGTGCTTCAGTTCGGCCGAGCACTCTTCTCAAGATGGTGCCAGGAACCTGTGGTCCATGCACCTGCCTTTAGGGAATTGTCGCATTACCACTGACTAAAATCATCTACAAACACTACGTGGCAAAAAGAACATATACTGCGGCCGTGGATCCACTTGGCACAACCGCCTACCTTCATTGCAACTATGACTATGGGCTGGCGGCCTTTGCTTTCCGCCTCGCCATGAGTGCAGCTTCGATCTTCAGCACTTCGGGTGCTACATCCTTCAACTCTTCCACAGCCCATCTGCATTGGGACAAATTTATTTCTGTCATCTGGCCAGCTTTGCCCGGAATTTGGGCAAGAAGTGCTGGCACGACTTTCAGCACGTCAGGAGCGACATCCTTCAAATGTGCTGATGCCCACAAACAGTTGGACAATCCTTGAGGCTTCATGTCAACAGCTCTGCTTGGAAGGCGGGCAGCGAGTGCTGACACGACCTTCAACACGTCCGGAGCGACATCCTTCAAACGTGCTGATGCCCACAAACAGTTGGACAACTGTTGGGGAATCATGTCGCCAGCTTTGCCTGGAATTTGGGCAACAAGTGCTGGCATGACCTTCAGCACATCAGGAGCCACTTCCTTCAAATGCGCTGATGCCCACAGGCAGTTGGACAACTGTTGAGGAATCATGTCACTAGCCTTGCGTGGAATGTGGGCAGCCAGCGCTGGCACAATGTCCAGCACATCAGGAGCATCATCCTTCAAATGTGCTGATGCCCACAAGCAGTTGGACAATTCTTGAGGAACCATCTCACCAAGCTTGCCTGGAATCTGGGCAATGAGTGCTGGCACAACATTCAGCACGTCCGGAGCGACATCCTTCAAACGTGCTGATGCCCACAAACAGTTGGACAACTGTTGGGGAATCATGTCGCCAGCTTTACCTGGAATTTGGGCAATAAGTGCTGGAACCACGTTCAGGACATCAGCATCATCTTTCAAATGCGCTGATGCCCACAGGCAGTTGGACAGTGCTTGAGGAATCATGTCACTAGCCTTGCGTGGAATGTGGGCAGCCAGCGCTGGCACAATGTCCAGCACATCAGGAGCATCATCCTTCAAATGTGCTGATGCCCACAAGCAGTTGGACAACTGTTGGGGAATCATGTCGCCAGCTTTGCCTCGAATTTGGGCAATGAGTGCTGGCACCACGTTCAGGACATCAGGAGCGACATCCTTCAATTTTGCTGATGCCCACAAGCAGTTGGACAAATCATGAGTATTCAGTTCACTGGCTTTGTCTTGAACATCTTGAGCCAAGTCGTGAATCAAGCTTGTCACCAAGGGCACGGCGCCCAGCAGCACTGCCAATGCCCAAAGCACGTTAGCGGTGGCTCGTGCATCCAGTTGCTCCAGCATGAGCATGTTCTCAACTTGAGAATTCAGCCTCGGGAGGACCGTGCTTTCAGCACAGTTTCGAGGTAACGACCCGCTCTGCTGAAAGATTGCCAACCTGTGGTAGGCGGCTGAAACGTGAAAGCAGTTGAAGTACGGTGCGTCCACCGCTTCATCCAAAATGCCAAGCAACTCAGCTGGCGTCAGGACCTTCTTTATCTGAGATGTCAATCTCCGAGCATCCTTCTCACCATCTGATGCAAAGGAGGAGGCCTTTGACCTCTCACCACCTGCAGTCTTGACATCAGTGGTCTTGGGCAACAAGGTTCCTCTCCTTTCACGCACCAGCATGGTGGTGGTCTGCAGCTTGGCCCCACGATGGCACAGGTGGATGGTTTCGCCAACATAGCTGAGATGCCCGAGTCGGAAGCACACAATGCATGCCAACCAGCAAACCACAATGCATGCACTGTGACGAAACGAGCGGCTCTTCTGGCTTTTGAGCGATGCCCAAGGCATTGCTATTGGCTTTGAGCACTGGTAAGAGGTGGGCATGGCCAAGTAAGGACAACTTACGAAGCCTTGATAATCGTGGGAGGTGTTTTAGTTTCATGACCTGAGTGGAATCATAGTTCATAGTCTGCAATAGAAGTTTGCAGGATATTGCAGGTCAGAATTTATGTTTCTTTCTACTTTGCCTCTGCCATGCTGCCATGCACAGAAAAGTGAATCGAAACTTGAACAAGCTGCTGGAACAAAGATGATCTCAGTAGCGTGTCTTCCGTGCCTTCTAGCTTCCAAAAATCAAGTGACTCATGAACGTACACAATATTGTACCATGTCAACATGGGAGCAACAAAGCACCTTGCTGTTGAAACGTGCACATGAACAACAAGCAGGTTGGACTGCACGTGGCACGCTCTTTTCAATTTCCACCATCCAGTGCCAGGACTATGCACAAACCACCACATGCTCCTGCACTCGGATCTCCGTGGTGCTTCGATTTAACTGAGCACTCTTCTCAAGATGGAGCCAGGAACCGTGGCAGTCCTTGCGCCCTGCCTAGCCTATAGTATGGATCTAACATGCGCAACAAATCAGCAGGTTTCATGCACTTTCAACCAATATCAATCCAGTATTCAAGTGAAAGCTACGGAGTCCTTGCTCGTATGGCAGGTTCGATCTTCAGCACTTCGGGCGCTACATCCTTCAACTCTTCCAATGCCAACCGGCACTGGGACAAGCCTTTTTCTATCATCTGGCCAGCTTTGCCGGGAATGTGGGCAACGAGCGGTGGCACAACTCGCACCGCATCAGGAGCAACATCTTTCAAACGTGCTGATGCCCACAAGCAGTTGGACAATTCTTGAGCGTTCATGTCAACAGCCTTGCCTGGAATTTGGCTACCTAGTGCTGGCACGACCTTCAGCATGTCAGGAGCGACATCCTTCAAGTGTGCTGATGCCCACAAGCAGTTGGACAGTTCTTGAGGATTCATGTCACCAGCTTTGCTTGGAATTTGGGCGATGAGTGTTGGCACAACATTCAGCACATCAGGAGCGAGATCTTTCAATTGTGCTGATGCCCACAAACAGTTGGAGAAGCCTTGAGGAATCATTATCTCAGCAGCCTTGCCTGGAATGTGGGCAACCAGCTCTGGCACAACCTTCAACACATCAGGAGCAAGATCCTTCAAATGTGCTGATGCCCACAAACAGTTAGATAAGTCTTGCTCAAACATGCCGCTAGTGTTGATTGGAATCTGGGCGGCGAGTGCTGGCACACTCTTCAGCACATCAGGCGCCGCATCTTTCAATTGCGCTGATGCCCACATGCAGTTGGACAAGTCTTGACAATTCATGTCGCCAGCCTTGCCTGGGATGTGGGCAACCAGCGCTGGCACTATCTTTAGTACATCAGGTACAAGATCCTTCATATCTGCTGCTGCCCACAAGCAGTTGGACAAATGTCGAGCAGTCATTCTGCTGGCTTCGGCCAGAACGTCTTCGAGCAAAGCAGGAATCAAGGTGGTCGCTGAAGGCACAGCACCAAGTAGCACCGCCATTGCCCAAAGCGCGTTTGCGGAAGCTCGTGCATCCATTTGCCTCAGTTTGATCATGTTCTCAACTCGAGCGTGGAGTTTGGGCAGCACTGCACTGTCCACGTAGTTGCTAGGCAACCGGCCTTTCCTCTGAAAGATTGCCAACCTGTGGTAGGCAGCTGAAACGTGGAAGCAGTTGAAGTATGGAGCATCCACAGATTCATCCAAAATGCCAAGCAACTCAGCTGGCGTCAGGACCTTCTTTATCTGAGATGTCAATCTCCGAGCATCCTTCTCACCATCTGATGCAAAGGAGGAGGCCTTTGACCTCTCACCACCTGCAGTCTTGACATCAGTGGTCTTGGGCAACAAGGTTCCTCTCCTTTCACGCACCAGCATGGTGGTGGTCTGCAGCTTGGCCCCACGATGGCACAAGTGGACAGTGCTCCCGACATAGCCGAGATGCCCAGGTTGGAAGCACACAATGCATGCCAACCAGCAAGCCACGCCGCATCCAGCCCGGCGGAACCCGCGGCTCTTCTGGCTCTTCAGATTTGCCCAACACATCGCTGGACTGGAGAAGGTAGACATGGCTGAGGCAAAAACTTCTTCGAAACTTGTGGGAATGTGTTTCTTTTCCATCACATCTCTCTCTCTCTGTGTAAATGAAGATGTGTGAGCAGAAGCTTGAGCTTGAGAAACATATTCTGGCAGGACCACATATCGGTGCCCAGGTCCAGGTCCACACCAACGAAAAGCTCACTTCATCGGGCGACCGGTGGCCCGGTGGACGCAACGGATCCTGGATCCCAGAGAAGGCGAAGCTTGGAGAACGCGTTTCGCGTATTGGGGGCACCGCTTGAGGAGGGGGAACTGCCGGCGGTAGAAGCCGTTGAGATGACCTGGGTCGACCGAAAGATCCAAGCCGAAGGTGCCCGAGGGGTGACCGGTCGGGTGACCTGAGCGAGCGGTTTGTGACCCTTGTGGCCGGTGGTTGGGGCCACAAGAGAACTTGTTCCTATCAACAGAAGGGTCGAATGGGTTCTAGATGGTTCTGGGGTCGTTCTCAAAAATTTGGTCAAGTCACAGCTTTTGAAAGTCATGGGAAGCCACAGCTGGATGATGTTGCTGGTCTTCAGGCACGGAAATCGAACTTAACTTGGAACAAACGTTGCCCTTCGCATTCGCCACCACAACCCGACAGAGTCGCAACATGCAGCGCGTGCTCCCAATTTCCCGCCAGCGTCTCTGCTCATCCTCCTCTATAGACGAGCAGCTACACTCCATGAGGCTGAAGAACATCCAAAATGTCTCCTGGACGCAGAAAAAGCCACCAACCGTCAGGTGAGAAGGAGAAGGCCTCAACATGGCATAGCCTGTTCCATCCTCCCTTTAGTCAGTAAAGTGGGGCCAAACCCGTTGTTTCATACCGACCGGGCTCATCCAAACCCTCCACCCTTCCAATCTAATGAGCTAACTGCATCGACTGGAAAATCCTCCTCTCCCGACTGAGTGCAACAACATATAGTACTTATCACCGAGACCCACGGAGCAACCAATGCACTGAAGAAATCCACTCTGGATTCTGGATGCAAAAGGCTAAAGGTTTTAGCGTCCAATGGATTCAATTGGGCCAACCCGCCTTCAACTCGCCCTTGGCACATCGACAGCTCCGCCATGCTCTGCCAAAACCAGAGATGGGACAACAAAAACACGTTTCAATATGTTTTGAGCATCAAATCAACAATATCAACTTCAATACGTCACCCTGGTGCTTCTAGAGCCTCCACCCAAAACATCCAGCTCCTCTTCCATCTCCGGCGGCAAATCGCGGTCGTCGCCCCCAAAGGCCCCACCCTGCACCACCTCGTGGCGGTTTGCGCGACCAGGCGCCGATGGGGTTGCGGGTCGAGCCCGCTGAGGTGCCCTTTTGGACATTTGCAGCACAAGAAGCTTCATGAAGCTTCTATACTATAGGATCATCCAGAATCGTAGATCGACATCGTGTATCATATACAACTTGTCAAACTACACAAGATATCTGTCCAATTTTGGTACCCCTATGGATCCACATACCTTCTCGGAAGGTAATTGGACCCTCCAAGCCTACATAAATAGTCTCCAATCACCTTCTCAGAAGGTATGTGGATCCATAGGGTACCATAGACACATCATGAACTGCCCATTTGTCAAAGCCCAAACAGCTCCGCTTCACCGCATCGATCCCTGTCTCCAGGAACGCGACCAGAAGCAAAAGCCCCACGATGAAGTTCATCCCTTGGCCTCCAAACCGAGGGAAGGTACGTGGGAAGGCTTGGGAGAGGTGTTCGGAACCCACTTTGGAACCATGTTGGAGCATCCACAGTATTTTTATAAAGGCATAGACATGGACAGCCTACATAGATGTGCTCGATCATCACGTTGTTTTTTGGTGCATTTTTGGGATGAATGTGATAGAATCCTCAATCCTCTGCTCCCCTTTCTTTGAAAGCCATTCTTCTGGAGGACATCTTGCTCTCCTGGCACTTTGATTATTGGCAGCCCTGGCGTTCTGTTACTTTGTCTTGTGGCTGGCACTTCAGGGCTTCGCTGCCCAGAACCGGAAAACGTTTTGCCGGACGGCCAGCTGCAACAACCGACGCTGGGTCAAATTTACCATATGGCTGACTCTCTTCCACCCTCAAAGCAAATGAGAGGAATGAAGGCAGGATGGGACCCCCAAAACAAGAGAGTTGCTTGCATAAGCTGAGGTCCGTGCCAGTCTGGGTATGACACCGCACTGGCCTTCCCTTGCTGGTTGTTGAGGTTTGCTGCTGCTTGGGGGGACGCTCCTTCAGGGCCCCGGGCAGTATCCCACATCTGGACAAAGGTTCGCATAGGCTTTCAAGATGCGAAACAAACTTTCTTGCCTCAGTGGTTCGCATCCGCATCTGTCAGGATATCTTGGAACCATGGGCCTTTCTCTATCGCTTGGGTCGACAGAAATGGGACACCTCTGCCATTCATCTCATAAAATGAGTGCATTCAATTGCTGTACTCTTCTCTGTGGAGCAAGTCTAACGGCGCATCCAAATGAACCACCCTCCACAATAACCAGGTGATCCATACTGACCCCCCAAAGAGAAAAGAAACAACGCCATAGAGGATCCCTGCCTGAAGCAACAAGTGCCCAGGATCCTCGACCCCAGGTTCAGTATACTGCAACTGTCTGGAGGCTGCACGTTCAAAAGGTGAAGCCACAAATTCACCTCATGCACGTTTCTTCCAGCCCTGGCTGAAATGCCCAAACCATCCATAGAACTGGAATAGTTACATAGTCTACTCAACAGCAGGATCATCAATGGAGTACAGTGGTTTCAGAGTAGATGACACAAACCCCCAAAAACGTCTTTTGGATGACGGCCCATCTAAACCCCCTTTGGGGGATTGTGCTATCTACTCTGAAACTGTAATGTTAACATCCCAGTCATAACCTATTTGACAAGACTAGTAATTAGCTTTTTGGCCTGCCGGACTTTTACCATACTAGTTTGTAAGTGCTATATAATCTACCTCTTCCATCCATCCAATGATCTGGGGCAAAACGAGTCGCAGCGCTCCGCGCTCTGTCTGAGCCCCCGCACTGCCGGGGACCGAACTTCGGGTCTTCCTCAGCGCGGTCGACCCGGCGGGGTTTGGGCGGTCCCGGACCGTCACGGCCCCTCAGTCTGGAGGTGATGGAACTCCGACATATGGTCAAATAGAATCGAACTCGGAACTCCGAATGAGGTTCTTAGTCTACTTCCTTCCTTCCTGCCACATCAGCCATTACCCAGAAGTTGTGCTAGGAAAAAGCACGCAAGACATTGGTATAAATATGGAGTATAGGCTAGTATAGCTAGTATATGAAGGTGCGAAGGTGCCTGTTGACAAAACACTGACCGCTCTCGCGGCTATTTCTCTTGCAGCTTCAACGCCTTTCAACCCGGCTCTCCGGCGGGCGAGCTCTCCGGCTCTTCGGGACGTACCGTCTCACGACGTCGTGGTTTGGTCCGAGGATCTGGGAAGGTCCTTGGGATGTCGATCTCGATGAGGTGCAAAAACTCATTCTCAGCCATCTGCAGCTCCTGGAGAGTCGAAACTGGAACTGGAACTGAAGGGATCACAGAACAACAAACTTCTTGGGAGTGTTCAGAACACCACTGGAACCACTCTTCAAGAACTTTGGTTGGATCTGTTGTTCTGTGAGTCCTAAGAAAAGGGATCACAGAACATCAAAGTTCCTGAAGAGTGGTTGGAACTGGGAACGTTGTTGACCTTGTGGACAGTTGATCTGACGAAAGCCGAAACGGAGTCTTTAGGACCTTTATTCCTCTGACTTCTTGATTTCTTCTGAAAACAGGGAAATTGAGTCCACGGAAGCACTGAGCCAAGGTAGCCGCACCAACAAAACTGTTCAAAGGACATCCAAGTGCCAAATGCCACAACTGAAAAGTCCATGATCATCCAGAGGGTATACATTAAAGGACCCATGTATATATGAGGACCCGTGCGTACTACATCCTTGACCATTTCCCCGACTCGGGACTCAAGGCATTTTGCTCGGTCCTTGTAGAGGCCCGCCTTTGCATGGGCATCCGCCTTCAGCGCAGTCTTCCAAACCTGACAAAGGGTCTTCCAAACTCCGACGCCAACAAATGAAGCGTGCTGGTCTTGACTAGAACCATCAGGAACATACTCAAACAGTGAACAACTACTATATACCCCAAAATTAATGCAGCAAGAACTGTGCCAACCTCTTCAAACGTGACACATTCTCCAGAGTCCGTTCACTAAAGTGGTCAAAAAGCCTTCCTACGTTCTTTTGGCACCTTCATAGAGGGAGCACTTCCCACCTGACTCGCAGCCTTTGACCACCCACCAGGGTCAAAACCTGTATACACAGGATGCCTCCGCGCGGTACTCCGCGGGAATGCCCTTCTTGGCGCGGCGGAGGAAATCACCCGGCCGTTGGTGCATGAACTTCTGCAAGCCTCCGCCGGAAGCGCTGTTTGGGAACCTGTCCCGCTCTGGAGGAGGGTTGGGGGAGTTGGGTTGGGTTTGGGTCCAATCAATGGTTCAACAGGAATCCTCGTAATTGTGGTTGGCCATGGTTGGCCATGGTTGGCTAATATCGGCTCAATTGGTCATGGCTGGCGTGCCCTATAGCACCGCCCACATGACCCAGCAGCATGCGTGCGTGTCAGCCGCGGGAAGCTGCGGCCTCGTTGCTGCATGCTCTTCCACAAACGTTGTCGGCGAAGCTTGTCGTCCGCCATGCCGCCTGGGAACCAAAATATGGAGACGGATGTGAAGTAAGCAGCCTCGCCCAAGCCAAGTTGAGGAGGGCAGGAAACCAACTTTTGAGGCTGAGATCGTCCAAAGTCTCCCGGAGGTCAATTCCAAGTACACAAAACTGCCTTGCATTTGAGTGGACTCCAGGAAGTTGGCTTGTTTATTAAAGTGCCGTCCAAACACTACACCAGGGATGTTGTGCAACGTTAGGGATGGGGTTGATGGATTTGTTGTAATCCCTGAGGAGCCGCCCTTTGATATGAAAGAGAAACAAAGCCGGCCTACTCTCTCCGACTGACTCAGTCTTCCCAGTTCAGTGACTAAGGGGCCATCAAGCCTCTGGGAACAGAACCAAATTAAGAAGCTTCTTACTCCAACACCCCAAGTAACTGCAGGTCAAACCGAATCTACAATCACCCAATGGCCCATGATTGCTTGGGTCACCACTAGCATGCGCACTCATCCCAGACAAGGAGGACATTGGACCCCAAAACGGCGACGCTCTGCCCCTTCAGACTGCCCCGGGATCCAGGGCTCCGGGCATATCAATTGGGCTGGACGAGAACCGAAAACACAAAAGACTTAGATCCTGAAATTTGGGTCCTGATCATCTACAGCTGGCTGGCAAAAAGAGAGTCTGCAAACATTAATAATTGTGCCGCTGAAAGACCTGCTGGCCTACGTGAGCAAGCTTGCAACAAGATGTGAGTCAGTGCCAAAAGTTGCGAAACACCAGTCTAGTCTAGTGCTTCAAGTGCAGCCAAAAAGAGTTTTTCTTTTTTTTTTCACAGCTTTTGCAACTCAACTGCAACTGGACCAAGTCGTGGGCTTCTGTCGTTCACTTTCTGTCAAAAAGCTCCGTCCCATGGCCCTGGAGCCCGAAGCAACGCGGCGACGGTTCAGTCGGCTGCGATGGCCCTGGGCCGGCGAGTTCGGATGGACCATGGATCCTGAAATCCGCAGGGCAAACAGGTGGTGTTCATGCACACCACTTGTTTTTGAATGATTTCAGGGAAGTGCAACCCATGGAACCGTGCCATGAGCCTTTGGATGCCAAGTGCCAAGTGTTGGCCTCCAGAATTTTCTGGAGATGGAGGGGTACTACAGGCTTTTGATAGTCTTTTGGTATCTTTTGTAGTTTCATGATGATTCATGTAGTGTCCGCCCTTTTTTGTCTCCCTCTTTGTATGATAATGTGTGATATATCTTTGCAGCGCATGAGGTTGAACAATGTTTAACAAACGGCAGTAATGCCGTGACCGCTGAAGAATCTCCGAGGATCGACGCTAGAACTCCCATGTCCCCTCCCCATCATTCCACGAGCACCATCCCTTGCCATTTTGCCGCGCATAAATCGCCGCCCACGCATCGCTCGCGCGCCCGGCTCCGCTCCGTGCGTGAGGCGTGTCTGGCTCTGGGCGGGGGGCCGGTTTCTGGTTTCTGTGCTGTGCCCGGAGGCGAAGTCTGGTGTTGACTGGTTCTGTGCTGCTGTGCCACGCTCACACCTCGCGCCCCGCTGCGCGTGTCGACACGCAAAACTCGGAGCTCGTCTACTTCGCTGGGGTGACACTCTGCTCACAGGCTTTCCTGCGAAAGGAGATTTGGACAGGGGAGACACGCCGAAGGTGTGTGGCCGTCGTCCAAATGCCCACGCCAAAGAAGAATATATGAATGAGCTATCCGGCGGAATGTGAAGCTAGCCGCTAGCCCCTTTGATCTGTGTGAGCAAGTAGGTCCCACCGAAACTAGACATGCCATGCCCCGAAAAAACAAAAAAGAACTCCTACTCATGGAAATGAGGCATGTGGTCCTGGAACACCATCTTTCATTGAGAAGAATGCACGTACAAATATTCCATCTCCCCACAACTCAAGCCTACAAGTCCAAATACCCACAGGTAACCTGAGTCATATCCTTTATATCTCCTTGAGTAGTGATTTGTTACGACCAACTCCAGCAAAATGAGGTCTGTGACCGGTAGGGCAAAGTGCCATGCTACTGGTCCCTTCGGACCTGTGAGCCCTGCACGGTCGGTGAGCCACGCAACCGTGCCCGAACGCGTTCCGAGCTGCGCGTTCCACTGCGCTCTGAGCGTTCGAGAAGCAACATTGGTGTCTTGAGCTCCGTTGTTTTGTGTTGAATTTCTATGTTTCGCGTGAAGAAGGATTTCTTGGAGAAATATCCTGAATTATCCAACTCCAAACGCTGAAACCCACCACCCATCCGCCTAGGAGGATGCCTTGGAATCCGCCGCCGCGGCGCCGGTGGCTGCACCGGCAGCGCCCGGCAGCATGCCGGGGATCATGGGCATGCCAGCCATAGGCATGCCCATCCTCAAGTGCCACATCGGATCATCAGCTGGAATACATCTGATCTGGGATCACATGGCCCTGGCGGAGAAAAACCACGGATTGAGCAAAGCTGTGATGGGCGACCCGGTGGAAAGCTAGATTGACCAGTGAGGATGATGAAAGACCAGAACCGCTCTTTAGTCGGACCTGTACTTCTTACACTTAGATTGATCTATCGGCTTGTAGAGAAAGATAAAGGAAGACGGTCCTTTCCAAGATCTCCTCTCTTCTCAGGAGGTGTCTTTTCCTTCTGAACTCTGATGCTGCAATCCCATCTCCCTGCTCCATCTCGCAACCTGCTCTATCCTCCCCTCCGAGCCCCCCCGCATCTGCATGCCGGGCAGGGCCATTCCCATGCCAGGAAGGCCTGGAGGAACGAAAGGTGAGGAACCCACCAGGCCACGCGAAGGACGGGTCCTGCCAAAACCCACGGAAATGGCGCGGAGTCGCCAGCCATGGGCCATGTGTTTGCCAGAAATGACCCGTTTTCAGGCTGACCACCTGCAGCCACCTGTTCCTTGTCATCAATTATTGGACAGCACGCTTGGGCTTGGGCCATCTTCGTGCGAACCATACACCCCAAACAGCAGCAGTCACAAAGGGATGATGTTCAGTCCCCAAGTGAGTGGATGTGACAGGGGCACCCTGTTTACCTCCAATAAGTTCGGCACCCCTTTCGAAACCACTGGAATTTCCTGTGTCTTTCCATCTTTTGAAGGAGAGAGAACGCTCGCCGCTGGACCGTGGTCCACCCCGAAGCATCAAGAATTTCAGACCACGAAAACCACTCCCTGATGTTCATCAAAAATGACGTGGAACACCCATGGGGGTGCCATGGTCATGGTCGAGTCTAGCCTAAATCCTAACATGGCTCATGATGGTGGCTCATCCCAAAATGAGCTTGGAGACCTTGGGCAGCTGTGTGTTCACCTTCCTCGCTGCAAGAATGTCAACCTCCTTCGTGGAAAGGTGGTGAACAGGGTGTTGAAAGGTCTACGTGCATACTAAAGAAACGTAATCTGGAAGCGGAACAAGAAATGCTATCTGAAAATGGAAGAAAGGCTTTCGGCAAAAGGACGCTCCTTTTGGTTGGGTGTCTATTGTTCTAATGCCCGGCACATCTCCGTGCAGCTCAGTTTTGAAGCATGCCAGGACACATGCTGGAACATCAAACGTCCAAACAACACGTCCCTGGCACCCTGCAACACCCCAAATCAGCTTCGCGGGTCGAAACCCTTGGAGCCCGGGCCCATTCCAGCCATGCCAGCCATCGCACTCATGCCCAGCACATCGAGTCCGGGCATCATGCCCGGCATCATCATGCCGGGCATCATCATGCTCATGCCTCGGCAGGCGTGAGCGGTCTCGACGTCTCTTGCCCACCGTGAAACCAAAAGCGTGCGGTCTCGACTTCGTGTCTTATGCGTTCTGTGAGGGCTACAGGAGGGGAGGTCGTAGGGATTCTGTGGGATCAATCAAAAACACCTGCCAAAAGATCATCAAATGGCTGACCCCCTTGGCCCCTGGTTTTTGTCTGGAAAATACCAACCAATGAATCTGTTTCCGCTTGTTCTTGTGCGTGCCAGAACCATTCCCAAATAGATCAAATAGGGTTGAACATGATTGACCTTTTCCAGGTAGGAATGTTGAGGTGGGGATCCACACGGGCTTCACCACCTGCTATAATTAGGTGGGTATAACTATATTATAATATATTAATGTCAACCCCGGATTAATCTGCCCCCCCCCCACATAGAAGGTCAACAAGGTCAAGAAGGTATGAGATACCACTCATGAGGTCCACTCCCCCTGAATTATCGGCTCAGGGAGCCATCGTAGTCCTAGTAGTCGTCGGTAGTAGGTAGTAGGTAGTAGGTAATAGTAGGT